TCTTCAGCTACACTTAAGTAGCAATTTTGCTTGAGAAAAATAAGATTCCAACAATTTTTTATTTTTTTTTTAAACCGAGAAATCTGTCTGTGACCCGCCCTTTGGACCAATCACAGCCTTCTAAACTCGGTGGATAATGGGCCCGCCCCTCTACCCTTCTCCACTTAAATATCGGGCTTTGCTTTGCATGGTGTGGGGCTTGAACCTGCGACCTAAGCCACAAATACTCCACCTTTTGCCACTCAAGCTAGGCCTTGGGGGCAATTCCAACAATTTTCATTAGTAATTTTACATTTTATGCCTTTCAATTTCTCTTATACCTTAGGAAATACTAGTTGCTACTTCCCTTCTTCTTATTTGATAAGTTCTTCTGATGAAGGTTTCATCAAGTACTCCCTCTGTCCCTATTTACTTGTTCATTTTTTACTTGGCACACCTATTAAGAAAATAATAATTGATATAGTGAGTTTACCATTATACCCCTATAAATTAATAAAATTCCAAAATCAATTTACTCGTGAAAGAGGTTTTATCTTGTTCAAAAACATTAATTCTCTAAATAAATTGAGGGTATAATAGGTAAAAAATACTCCCTCCGTTTTACAAAGAATGACCTAGTTTAACTTGGCACGGAGTTTAAGAAAATAATAGACTTTTGAATCTTGTGGTCTTAAATTAAAGTTATGTCAAATGTACAAAATTGTCCTTTAATCTTGTGGCCTTAAACATGCCACGTGGAAAACTGAAATTAAAATGTTACCAAAAAAAGAAAGAGGTCATTCTTTTTGAAACAGACTAAAAAGGAAAGGAGATCATTCTTTTTGAAACGGAGGGAGTATTGTCTTTTCTTGATTTGTCAAAAATGACAAGTAAAAAAGGACAATTAAAAAGTCAAAATTGGACAAGTAAAAAGTGACAAAGGGTGTATATATTGGTATATGATTTGAAGAAGCTTGTTATCAGACAACTGAATTTTGGGTTAGTAGCGACTCAGGGACACATTCTGTTTCAAAAAGGAAACGATCTACATATTAGATATTACAGATCAGATAAAGCCCTTGCCCCTTGCATATCTTTACTTTATAAGTGTGAAATTGCATCTAATCGAGTGAAAAAACTCAAGAAACTTCATGTCGTTTGCCCTATCAAATATATGAGAGAGAGAGAGAGAGAGAGAGAGAGAGAGAGAGAGAGAGAGAGAGAGAGAGAGAGAGAGAGAGAGAGAGAGAGAGAGAGAGAGAGAGAGAGAGAGAGAGAGAGAGAGAGAGAGAGAGAGAGAGAGAGAGAGAGAGAGAGAGAGAGAGAGAGAGAGAGAGAGAGAGAGAGAGAGAGAGAGAGAGAGAGAGAGAGAGAGAGAGAGAGAGAGAGAGAGAGAGAGAGAGAGAGAGAGAGAGAGAGAGAGAGAGAGAGAGAGAGAGAGAGAGAGAGAGAGAGAGAGAGAGAGAGAGAGAGAGAGAGAGAGAGAGAGAGAGAGAGAGAGAGAGAGAGAGAGAGAGAGAGAGAGAGAGAGAGAGAGAGAGAGAGAGAGAGAGAGAGAGAGAGAGAGAGAGAGAGAGAGAGAGAGAGAGAGAGAGAGAGAGAGAGAGAGAGAGAGAGAGAGAGAGAGAGAGAGAGAGAGAGAGAGAGAGAGAGAGAGAGAGAGAGAGAGAGAGAGAGAGAGAGAGAGAGAGAGAGAGAGAGAGAGAGATTGGTTGAAGGGCGAGAGTATTAGACCAGATAGATTAGGTAGAAATACAATCACTCTCCCCAACCCAAACAAACCAAACACATACATACTTAGTCCAACAACACTTCTTGAAGTGTGTACATAATTTTTGATAAGATAAAGTTTTATTAATAAGCACTACCAATATGCTACTGCAGCAAAATTACAAAAGGAGGACTTGTTTTACAATTACATATCCCAAGATTCTAACAACTCCAGCATATCTTTCATATTCAAAACTAAATTCCTATTAGTAGAACAAATTCTGCATACATCTATACGTAATAACAGAGGGCATCTCCTTTTTATCTTCACAGCACCTCATGTTTCTCTGTAGAGTCCAAGCATTGCATAGGGGAGCTGACATCCAAATCTTTTTATGAATTCTGCCAGCATAATATGTCTTCCAGCAGACTAACAATCTTCTAAAACTGTAGTGTACTGCACAATATACTCCCAAAACTGTCCAGAACATTGCCCCGATCTGCCAAACTGCAATGTATGAAAAGATGCTCAATAAACTAATTAGATATTTCACACAAGCAACACCTGCTACATAGCATATACCCTTAAGATTGTGAAGTATATTTTTCAGATTGTTGATACTATTTTTTGTCTAGTCCATCTTTTAAGATTGACTCCTAATTTTGGTTTTCCTCACATTCTCATCAGTTCAGCCAAGCTATCATCTTTCCTACATAATGCTTACGACCCTAAGAATCGAGTGGATATTCATTCGGCATATTATATTACTGGTTGAATAGGTTTGTTGAATCCAGTATAACTATAAAATTTTCCTTAGGAGGGGTGGGGGGACATGAATCAATTTAAAAGTTCACTGATATAATTGGAAGGTTTATATTCTTCTTCTCCTCTTACAACCAATTCAAAATAAAATATGCTTCTCCTCCTCTCAGCTAATAAATTGCCAGAAGAGAAAGTTGCCGCAGAGAAATATTTGATGATAATGATCCCAGAGTACCAATCAAAAAAAGATAATGATCCCAGAGTGTATTAGCTCTGAGAATTGAGACCAAATGTCCAAATGATTCTCACTCATTATGTTGATGTTCTTGTGAGATTAAGGTGCTGTTGAAGCTTGTGAACTGATACTCGCAACTTGCGCGAATAATTTCTGTGGAATGGGTAATTTGTCTCTGATTTGTTTGTTTTCAATCAGTAAAATCAAGTGTATTATCTATGAGAGCTAAGCAAAAGCTCGATAATAACTTGACAGAGAAGGTAAAGAACTAATAAGAAAAAATCTATCATGAGAGTTGGTTCTAAATCAAGAAAAAATACACATTTGTAATTTGTTTTAAAATTGAGAATGCTGTCTCTTCTGTCTTCAAAGCCTTCAGCTTTATGTTCCTCTCTGATAACCCACCACACAACTACAGGGATGGTGTCTAAATCTTAGAGGAGACTTTAGGCATGCCATCCTTTTTCCTATCTAACAAAAATTCCAAGGGGGTGTAGGGTGAAACCATCTTGTGTCCAAGGCGGTTGAAGAAATATACCAGATTGACATGTAACTTTACAATGAAGAAAAAGATGATTGACATCCTCAGCATCTTCTTCACACAGTGAGCATCTGTTGCAAAGTGGGATGGCTCTCTTCTGAAGATTGTTCAGGGTGAGGCATTTACCTTTAACCACTAACAAAGAAAAGCATTTGACTACACACATGCTTTTTTTTGATAATTCAACTGCATGTATTATTCTAAGATGTATGAACCACCCGAAGTCTTGCCAAATGTCTATACTAATAGAATTTGAGCCACTTGTGCATCTGAAGTGAGATGGAAAAGTCTCTTTCAGAGGCATATTGCATCTGCTCTGTTTCCGAGTCGGATGGATCAAATTGACTCTGGTTTTAGGTTTTGTAATTAGGAGGTTTGCCTTGAACCCTTAATAGTGGGTGGCTGGTCAAGTCCTGGTTTTGGATTTCTGAACGACTGAACCATCATTTGTTTTTCAAATTAGCTTTCCTATCATGGGCTAGGCATCTTATCTCTCCCTCTTCCTTCCTTGTACACCAACTGTGACTTTGGGTTGTAGGGTTTGTTACTTCTATTATAATCTGATAATTTGTTTTCTTGAGTTCACTGAAGTAGTAGTGGCATTTGGAGACAGATTTGGAAACTATGCATCCAAAAATAATAGTAGAGTAGTCGATGTTGCTTCATGGGCTTGAAGCCCTGCACTGTAGATAAGTGTGTGCTTTAATCGTTGACGTGCAAAGTGACCTCAACGAGAAACGCTTGATTCATTAGATCTCAATTTTAAGGAGTTGGATTAATATCAACATTATTGTACATTGGATGTTGAAATTAGTTATGTTAATTGAAATTTTATCATATCTTAGTACTAAATTCACATATGTATGATATATTAAAATCTTCCGTAAATTGTCATTCAATTTTAAAAAGGTGAGCATCTTCTTCTTTTTGTTTCCAGCAGAAGGCGTGTGGTTCACTTCTATAGCGTCGAGCATAATTTATTAATGTAATTTATTGGTTAATTACAGGAAAGACTGAACAGATCTCTAATGGTGTGCCAAGACAAGTTTGAGAGCGCCAAACTCCAGAAGAACAAAAGCAACGCCACAATGGAACTGGAATCATGTGTTGACCAGTCAGTTCATGACAGCATCAACGTATTGCCCCATCTTGTTGACAAACTAAAGGCTTCTCTCGGCTTCAACAATTGAAGAAAATGTAGGTAGCATCGCCATGAATTTGAAGAGAAATGACGGTTTTTCTTTTTCACTTTGGAAATTTTAGTTTTCGTCAACAGTTTTTGCTTAGATGAGTCTTAAAGTAATGAAATCAACTCAAGAAGTAATGAAAAATGAATTCAGTTTTGCAGACTATAAATCAGGTGCCTCCTGAAGTTGTTTAATTTAAGGACGACTGTGCATACAGATTCTCAGTGAAATAAATTGTTGTCACTTTATAGCTAACTTGTTTTAGCTTGTTGCTACTTTTTTTGAAAGTCTCCAGCATACCTTATTGCCGAGGAATACAACATTACCAGATTTTGAATTCTATCATTATCAGCCCGATGATCAAACTCTAACTTATATCTATAAAACGAGAAACTCATTTAACTACTTTAAAGATCGAATTTAGCTGACTTTGCTAACACAGACAATTTAAAACATTTTCTTCAACTCTGAGTTGGTGACTGCCAATTTTATTTGTAGTAGTCGACAATTTTCATTTCAAAATATACATAATTGCGCAGTATATGATTTAATGCAGATCAATGAATACTAAATGAAGAGAGTCTGTAAAACCTGAAATAAACAGGATGACTGTATAGTCTGTAGACAGTGAATTTCAACAAGGAAGAAAATTTATCTCAACATGAAAGCTTAAAAAAAGATGCAATATCTTGATATCTTTACAGCAAAGTATATATATTCTCGCAAAGCATGAGAAACAAGACAAGTTATTCAACAAGCATAAGATGATTGAAGTCTGATTCTACTCCTTCAAAATCATCCAGTACTTCTTTCCAAATTGCAGTGTCACCTTCATATTTGCACACAATTATTGCTTGGGTGCCAAACTTGCTTCAGCCTCACTGCTGCGTTTTGCATCTTCAAACTTATCAATGGCTACTTGAAGTTCATCTGAACCTCCAACAGCTCTCATAGTGTAGTAGTACACACCAAAAACAAATCCTGTCAAACCTCCTGCCATAACCAGATTCTTAGTCTTGGGAGCAAGGGCACTGTATCCTGGAAATCCAGCCATCTTCTCAGAAGGAACTAACCTAAGACTTTGTATTCTGCTTTTTTCTCCTGCAATAAGACACAGAATGCAGCTGACTTGGGAATGTTTGAAACTTCAAGACATCTGGTGAAAAAATCAACATGTCTCTGACAAATGTGGGTATGTGATTACGGTTTACTTCATTCTCCTTTTTCGGTTTTTGATGCAAGTTCAAGGTTTAATTGCATAAAAGAATCAAGACCTCAAAAATCACAGAGTATTATAGTCAAGTAAGCAAATTACATATAGATGAAAATATCAGGACATAAGCTTTCCAGTTCCTTCCTACCACAACACCTTGTGGAGCACAGGTACAAAAATGAGAGCTGTATCTAATATAGACACCAGCTGAACAGTATAAATCAGACATTGCATTTCTATTTATTTTCATAATTTTATATGCCTATACTGAAAACAAGTACTGAAAGATGCATTCAGACGTCATACTATAATAAGAAATGCAAAAACATGCACTCCATCAGGTTGTATTCTAACATTCAAACACAAGACGCATCTAAATTTCCAAATCAAGCTTCGAGTTACATTTAATTGAAGGTAAGTTATTTCAATGTTCAAAAGACTTATTTATATCTTTAATGCAACAAGGTTCAATGTACATTTAAACCCTATTATCATAGAAGGAAAATATGAGATTTTTCATCTCAACATTTAAAAAAGTTTACTTTCAACTTTTTTTTTGTGGCGTCATAAATGTCCATTTAGTGTGTACATTCAAATAGGGGATGAATGTAAACAATATCCACCATCCATTCCCACCGTATCTAGTGTGTGCATTCAACTTTTTTTGTTGTGGTGTCATATTTGCCCCCTCACCACTTAGATTTTAAAAAAAAAACAAAGTACGCCAACAACAATATCCACCATCCCATTCCCATAAGGGAAGAATGCAGGGAAAAAATAGAAGGGCAGAATTCTTCCAAGACAAGTCAAGTTGAGGCAAATTGGGGGATGGAGCCAAGCAAGAAAAGCCAACCCAGTAGCCAAGTTCATGCTATCTGCACATGATGCAATTTTAGGACAAGGTTTAACTTGTGTCGTGACCATTCCTTTATCATGGAACATCTCCATCAATGGTTTAACTAGCAACATTTGTGCAAGTGTATTTATCTTCTTACCAATCATTCAATAATTAGCTACAATTGCTACTTGCAAATTTATTTTCCTCAAAATACAGATATGTTTAAAAATTGATTACATAGTCAGATCATACCAAATGAGAGTTAACAACTGTGTAGAGAGTGTACCAACATATTTTACCCCAACGGAGACACTCAGACTATGTCTCAAAAAACCACTGATACGGAGAGAAATGCATAGTAAGGGACATAACCCAGACCCGTACATATTTCTGTAACTCAACATCACTGGAACACATTGATCAATTTGCTGATGACTGAAGCAATGTGACACAACGGCATAGAGATATATCGTAATATTGGCGTGCAAAGCTCTTAATGACACGAGTGACAAGTTATCACGATGGTGTATGTTTCCGTCCAGCCAAAGAGGTAATGCATTCAAAGAGGATGTAGTTATCTCTAAGGATCTAAGACTCTTAATGAATCCTAAGATGCTTGTTAATTATCCATCTTACCAGGTGGGCTTCAAAAGGCTACTATCATTTAATACTAAATGCTCTGCACGAATATGAGATCAAGATAGATTTGACCATTGATAGAAAGTCAAGCAAGCAAAACAAAAAATCTATGATCAAACAATTTGGCAACATCATATCTTGTCTAAAGAGACCAAACTTGAAATCAAGCTGGAGGTAAGTCCACATGGACATAGTAATTTACTACCTTTGCTCGACAATATTTGTAGCATTCATGACTACTAATGCTTATACCAACATGCAAAGATGTTCTAAACGTCCAATAATATGTGACAATTGCCATCAAATAATTCTACAATTCAAGCGAAAGAAACGATCTTTCATCCATCAAATACCCAAAAGAAACCAAAACCCCAAAGAACTACAGACACAAACAAAAAAGGGGCAAGTACTTCCTTTAATTGACATTGTTTCCACTAAAATACACAAGCATTTCCAACCTCTAGTTAGATATATTACAACCAAACACTACTTTTAAGCAGGCAAGTGCAGTTCATCAGTATTGCACTGATCCAAAAACTATTGAAGGTACATGCGAAGAAATAATCAAAAGAGCATCCATCCACAGTCAAATCATCGCATCAATAATAAGCAAATTCAATGTCAAGTAAGCAAAAGCCAATCACAGAAGCATATATATACTCATTTCTTCCATAAGAGTGACTCAAATTCGAAGTTTCTCTTCGTTAAAGGAACAAATATTTTCACTGAACTAAGTAAAATCAAACGAAATCAAGCAAAAAAAAAGGAGGAGAAATTGGAAATGAACCTGGAAATCTTGGTGAAGAAGGAACCTGAAGATGATCAAAAACCCTAATAATGTCAAAATCTACTTACCAGGAGCAGATAAACCTCTTACATTGTGGGCCGGGTCAGATGGGTTTTATCAATCCAATTCACGTCTTATTTACAAATTTTTGCATGAGTTTTAAATTGGGAAAATTAGCAATTAAGTCATAATACCTAACATAATTAGTCAAAATAACAACACTTTAAAATATTTATTTAAAATGGCAGTGACAATATTTTTATAAAATAATATGTATTCAGATTTTAGTATTTAAAATTAATTTTATTTATGGAAAGAGTCCTATATTGGACCAAATTATATATCAATAACCGTTTAAAGAAAAAATAAATTAAACCAATACACATTAACCTTTTTTCAACTCCATTCACGTTTCTTCCCCACTTTTCACGTTTCTTCCCCACCTTTCACGTTTCAAGTTTATCTTTCTTCAAGGTGCTAAATTGTTGTTCATCAAGAAATCTTATTTATTGTTAAATGAAATCTATTTATTAATTCAAGCAGATTTCTCGATTGGCAAGGTAATTTCCATTATCCATTTTGATTTATTTTGATTTGA